TATGTATGTATATATTTTTATATATGTATGTATGTATATATATGTATGTATATATATTTATATATGTGTGTATGTATATATATATGTATATATATTTTTATATGTATGTATGTATATATATGTATGTATATATATTTATATATGTATGTATGTATATATATGTATGTATATATATTTATATATGTATGTATGTATATATATTTATATATGTATGTATGTATATATATGTATGTATATATATTTATATATGTATGTATATATATTTATATATGTATGTATATATATATGTATGTATATATATTTATATATGTATGTATGTATATATATATATGTATATATATTTATATATGTATGTATGTATATATATTTATATATGTATGTATGTATATATATGTATGTATATATATTTATATATGTATGTATGTATATATATGTATGTATATATATTTATATATGTATGTATGTATATATATTTATATATATGTATGTATATATATGTATGTATATATATTTATATATGTATGTATGTATATATGTATATATATTTATATATGTATATATATATATTTATATATGTATGTATGTATATATATTTATATGTATGTATGTATATATATGTATGTATATATATTTATATATGTATATATATATATTTATATATGTATATATATATTTATATATGTATGTATGTATATATATATATATATATATATATATATATATATATATATAAAAGTCAAGGAATACTAACCACTTATGCTTCCATGGTTTCCATCAGTAAGGTTTCTTTAGTCAGTAGAGGTTAACTGTATTTCCCAAACACCTTGTTTATTTATTTGCACAATTTCAACAGAAATTACATTTGAAGTGGAGGAGCAAATCAAAAGTAGTTGGAATGTAAGGGGTGGGGGTGGGGTAATATTAATAAGTAGAGATGCAGTGGTAGAGGGAATGTAAGGGAGGGGGAGGGAGAGAAAATATTAATAATGGGAGACAATCAGTATTGGGCTTAATGTAAGTGAGGGGGAGGAATAGATATGTTAATAAGGGGTGAGTTTAAGCAATGGTAGACAGAATGTAAGGAAGGGGGGAATAAAATTTTAAAAGGGGAGGGGTAAAGTAAGAGTATAAGTAATGTGAGAGAGATTGAGGAATAAAAGTTTTAATAATAAGGGGATGGGTAGCTTGAGTAGAAGAAAAGTAAGGGAGGAGGAAGAAAAAATATTAAAATAAGTGGAGAAGTAACGCAAGAGGGAGTGGAAGGGAGGGGAGGTGAAAAAAATATGTATTTTCATCTGGGTTCATATAAACCTAAAATGTATTTTCTAATGTGCTTACAGTCTGACATCACTTCAGACCTCTCATTTAACAGCTTATTTTGGTCTGAATATGATATTATTTCTAGTTTCTCCTCCTGGCACAATCTACACATATTATTACCAATATTGTAAGGTTTAGCTTTCCTTAAAATGCTCCTTTGCACACTTGGGATTCTTCCATTTTTTTCTTTTATTTCCTACACATGGCTGGCTAGTTTTGTGCAGTTTCTATATTTTTCCTGATTCAATGATGACTGGTGGCTGTACCATCTTTTTTTTAAACTACTTTTAGTACATCAGATATATACTTTACTTTTGCCATTTGCAATGTATTATTTGCAATAATTAGTGTCACAATTATTATCACTATCAGCATAATCACAATCGTCAATAATACACGAGCAGTTAGCATTGAAAATACAAACATCATCACCACCATGCCCACAAACAAAGCCCAACTTGACCAAAGTGCTGGTGAAAGACCCAGACCAATAGGAGTGTATGTGTGCATCTACATGTGTGTATGTGTGTATGAGGAAGGGTAAATTTGTCTGACAATGCAGCTAGTAGATCTAAAAAGCGTCAAGAACACCCCTACCCAACTCTTAGTTGAAAGGAACATCACCACACATAATAAAAACTATGGCCCTGACACCAAAATAAAATTAAAATTGTATACGTATGTGTTTCTGTGAACTAAAATGCATACATCTGTATGTATATGTGTCTATGTGTATGAGAGTATCATCCCAAATAAACACAGAAGGAAGTTCCACCTCCCCCACCAAACATAGTTAAACAAGCAATTTTAAAAAATAAACCAGTTTGTCTGATGATTGCAAAAGTGTGAAACCCAGGGTCACAAACTCAAATCCATACAACTGAGTATGTTAGCTCTATCACTGATAGGTACTGTGCATATAAAATAAAATATATATATATATATATATATATATATATATATATAGATATATAGTCATCCACAGACAAACTGTTTCACTGTATCACAGCTCTTAAGTGTGGTTAGACATCCGATCCGATTACTACAAGCCAGGATTGAAACCCAACTGATTTGGTATCTATGCACACACACACACACACACTCACAAATATATATATATATATATATATATATATAAAAAATTAAAAAAATCCTAAACATAATAAAAACAAAGTTTTATCATGCATGAAAATCTTTGTTATTATTAAGAGGAAAGACCAAAGGATTTTTTGATTATTAAATTATATTTTTCGACCTTTTTTAGAACATTTGGAATTTTTGTTAAAAACCTTGTTTTACTTGCGTTAACGGGAGGGGGGGGCAAGATTGTGTGTGCATGTATGTAGGTATATTGATGTGCCAAAAGTCATGGGTTGGTATTATGTAAAGGTAATGGTAGGTGGCACCATTATACCATCATGAAAATGTATAGACCTATATTAGTTGTGCTCTGACATCTAGTGAGTCCATGGGAGCACCAATTAGGCTGCTCATGGCAAGATGATACAAATTATCAGCATTTGAACTGAGGATCATAGTGAGTACCAGATAGATGGGACATGAAATTTTGGAGATATTTGGCATCCCTTGTTCGACAGTGTCATGGATGTATCTGATCAAAGCATTACCGCCACTTGTGTGTACAGTACAAAGTGCATTAGCAGACTATATGTCTTTTATGACCAGAGGCATCTGTCTTGAATTGTTTGCATTAACAGATCCTGACTTAAATTACATTCACATTCAATGCAGGATGTACCAGTAAGTTCCTAAGCGTCTATGGAGTATGGGTGAACACCACCCTCAAGGGAACTGGTCAGGTATAACGACCACACTTGGTCATGAGATTGATAAAAATACATAGCAAGGGGAATAACAATGTTAGGTTGATAAGAGTTGTTTCCCTTACGTTGCAACAGTAACCCATTGCAGTAAAAACATCAGCCGAATGTTTTTGCAGTACTTCAACACATTTGTAAATCTTTTTTTACTTATTTTATTAACTTATTTTGCTAATTTTTTTTATATTGATATTCATTTTTTATCTTGTTTGATTTTTTTTTCTTTTGTATACGTCTCTTTATCTATGTTTGTGTACGATCGGGCGAGTGTACCTATGGTAACATATTTATTAAATTTTTAAAATTAGCCAAAATAAAATAAAAAAATAAGATTCATTTCTTTGCAGCGAGGAAAACAATTCGATAATTAGTGTTTTATGAAACTAATTTCTATTACTAAGGTTTTAAATTATGATAATTACATATCTTTGAATAGTTGGTTTTTTTTCCTTTCTTTTTTTAAACTGGTGTTTTATGGCGGGAAATGAGAACAATAAGGCACAAACCAAAATTATTTTTCTATTTTTTTTTTTTTTTTACACGTCGATTTACAATTTCAACATCTAAATATTTCCGAATATTTCTAGATACTGAAAAGTAAAAATGGACATAAAATCAAGTGATTTTGCAGGATCTTAGCATTCTTAGTTTTTTTTTTTAAGAAATATCTTTAAAAATTCACCGCTTCTCACAAAAACATTTTTTTTAATATTCATTCATTTAAGCCAAATTGAGGTTTCTTAAAAAACGTAAACTTTATCAAAATTTTTCATTACTTTATAATTTTCGAAATACTTTGAATAAATAAATGATTTAGAAATCATTTTTAATCTTTTTATATTTATCTTTATTTTTTGTGTTGGTTGACATGTGTTTTTCACTAAGTAAGCGTCTCATGCCTTTTTGAGATATTGTCTTTTTCTTCATTTCTTATGCTTATTCACCCTCCTTGTAAGATTAAGTAAGAAGACTTTATTGTCTTGATCAGAATTCTTCCTCTTTGATTGAATAGTTCTAAAAAAAATGAAGCTGTATGTAATTAAAATTAAATTAATGAACAATTTGGCCCTTGGGTTTACGATTTTTTTAGCTACGGTATTTTTTTTCTAAACTTGTCATCGCCAAGGAATTTTTAAAAGAATTTGAAATTTGACCATGTATTGTAACTTGTTTAAGTTCTTTTTTGTTTCTTTTTTTAACTTTCTAAGTTTATAAATTTGTCGAATATCATTGTCCATCTCTCTCTAGAATTTTTTGTTTTACTAACAATACAAATTGCAGTCAACAGGGTGTCTAAAAATAGATTCCACCACTAAACTAAGCGATGGAATTTTTTTTAATTTCTCATAAATAAAAAGGTATTTTTAAATTAAAAAATATTATTCTGAAATGTGTATTTTACCATATCATATGTCAAGGGTTACTTTTTTTATGATGCGAGGTCCGTGGGGATCGGATTCAATTGTCACGCCTGTACTTAAAGCTCTTATTTTTGTTTAAAATTCTGACTTAAACCTTCAAGTATTTCTCTAAGCAGATTTTTTTAAGTATAAAAAAAAAGATAACGATGAATAAAAAAAAATATATTTCTCTTTATATACTGTGCATGTTTAGTTACAAACAAAACACGATTTTTACAAAGATTTGAAAAAAATCACCCTTTCTCTTGTTTTTTTAATTTAGTCTCTAATTCTTTCTTCATTTATTTTTTGTGCGTGGGTATTTTTAACATTGGGATGTCTTGATCTCTTCATGCTAAAAAAAAAAAAAGAGAAAATTTAAATTAAAGAAATTCTAGTGATTTTTCTTTCTTTTCGTTTTCAGTTTTCCTTTGCAAATATGAAGATGGATTCTACGCACGCCAGTGCTGCCCTAGCAATGAGTGTTGGGTTAGGGTTGGGAGTGGCCATTGGATGGCTACTTCGGGGACGGTTGGGCTCAAATTTAAAAAAAAAAATGGCTTCCAAATTTATTCAGGAGGAGGTAAGTAATGAAATATTTGCCCCCAAAAATGTTTGTAATTCAAAATAATTTATTTTAGTTAACTGTGGCACAAGGCCAAAATGAAGGTAAGAAGATTGTTTTGTGCCAATCTTTTGAGTGGATAGGACCTGTCTACCCACCTTGAAAATTAGCATGTTAAATGCCATTCTTTTACCTGAATTTACTAATCTTTGGACTGATACAAGCTTAAGGTACCCAGTGAGGATTGAACTCACTACTGTAGTAATGATTTGTGAAACGTGGTTTTAAGTGTCTCAGTTCTTCACAGTGTATCCAAAACTATAAAAAAAAAAAATGTATTCAGTAAGTGGAATTATCAAGCTAAGTTAAATTCATTTATTAATTTTCATTTCACACTAATACTTTTTAGAAAGGCAATAATCCATTGCTTCCCCTAGATATGGATTAAATAGCAGGGTAGATGAAAATTTCTAATCTTGAGTGGCAGCCAGTCTAGGAGAAGGCCTCTGAATTCAAAACTAGAGAAGTTACTGGGAAATCACTACTATCGTTCCTAAAAAGTCATGACATTTTCTGCATATTAAAAAAAGGAACTTGTGAAGTGCCATGATCACCTACATTCCAAAAGGATATATATTTTATTTATTTTTTCTACAAATTCAAATGGATATTTTTTTTTTTCAAAAAATAAAATTGATATCTTTTTAATTTGTGTTTTAAGTAATTCAATATATTTTACTTATTTAATGCATTTTTAATTTAATATTCTGATTATTTTTTAATAAGCTTGAAGTAATTTGTATAAAGCTTTGTATTTAATTCTTAAATTCACTCAAAGTTTAAAAAAATTTAGGAAAGAATGAATTTATCTCCAAAGACAATTCAAGAAAACATGAGCAATACAAAGGTTTTATACAAATTTGTAGTCAGTCTAAATATTTCAGAGTAAATAAATATATATGCAATCATTCTTGTGTAACAAGTAATATATTCTGAGTTTTCTGGGTTTTTTTTTAACTGCTATGTCTTTTCAGGACATAGGTGATCATGACTCTCCACAGATTCTATTTCTGAATTCCTATGCATTCTTTGGAAAGGTAATGGAGTGGCTTACCATTGTCTTCTTCATAGTTTGGAATTCAGAGTTTTTCTTCACTAAGACTTTCTGTAACTCATAGTGAGAGAATCCTGTCAAATCCTGATATTTAACTCATAGCTGGGGAGAGAAGAAACAAATTCATGTCTTTCGCAATGGCAGTGTCAAAATGAGAGCAACAGACTAACCTGGAATTTGAAAATGGCTCACCAATTCACATTCCATGCCAATATCTATTATACTGTGGCCCATTTCATTTCATGTTATGAGTAATTATTCAAACAGGACAGCATGTTTGCCAAAATGCCCTTAGGTACTGCTGTGAAATAGCTATAAAAACAGGACACTTCCTGTCTTCTTTCTCTTTTCTCTCTTTTTCTTCTATAGAAACAGCACCAATTCAGGACTTCTTCCTGAGCATGGGGATATCTTTCCCCTTAGTAACTGAACTTTCATGCACTAATTGCTAAATTTTAATATCTCTTTTCAGTTATATTTGCATACATACTAGCATATTTTCTCTCTTTTGTTACTTAGTTGTTACATAAAAAATTTTTCCTTTGACCTCTACTAACAATGGGGACCTGTTGTTTACACATTTTGTTTGCCACTGTTTTTAGTTCAACTAGCAGTACTACAACAATTGATCTTTTTTTTTTGTCCTCCAGGCTAAAAATAAGCAAAGCATAATTCATGCAAACAGTTTGTAAAGATTATAATGATATTTTTACATAGGCTGGACTAGAAAAACTTTGTAGCAGAAATTTTTTTTTTTTTTTTACTTTTTATGGTATATGTAATTTGTATATTACTTTGTAAGTACAATTAGTAAACATAGCACAATGGGCTGGAGGCTGGAAATTTGCAAAAAATGAAATTCCTATTCTACCCAAAAGGACTTCATTTCCATAAACTAGAGAAAATTTCCAGTTAAACAAAAAAAAAAAATTCAAGTGAAAAGCTCTTTTTTCAGACAAGTTATGTTTAATTGAAGTTTGCGAAGTCAGATTTTCTAGCACTGTCAGCTAATTTATACAAATTTTACCTGATTTTTTAGTTGAAACTGAATAATAAAAAAATCATGGAAGCACATTTCTTTCACTTAACTTTAAAGATATTAGTTAAAGGTATAATATTGAAGTTAATTACAGACTCAAGGTTGAAAATGTGAAAAAAATGCCATTTTGGGGGGAACTTTTGGAACGAAAAACTATTTTTACCCCAAAATATTACTTTTTTAACACAAAATTTCTATGGATATCAGAAAATATTTCAAAATGCCAAAAGTCAGACATGCATAACTATGCATTTTCTGAAAATAGATGAGAGAGTGCAGAAAAATTAAGTTTCATCAAATCTGATCTTTGGTATTTCAAATTAATCCATTTCAAAGTTAGGCACACTTAGTTAAAAGGTATTAGCATATTGAAATACAAAAATTTATCTGAATAGTCATCAACAAATTTTTGACTCCAAATATGCTTCTAAAACTTAATTGAAGGATTTATTGACCTAATTTTTACTGAAAAGAACTCAAAAATGGATTTAATTTTTTTAAAAAAATGATTTGGAAGGTTAACTTATGTGAAAAAAATTACCACAAAAATCCTCAAAATTCAACTGATTTTAAATCAAGAATGCCATGTATCTGTGAAGAGATTCTTGGCGAAAGGTGGGATTTCCCTGACAGTACAGGTAAAGGAGGAAGATTCACATCAGGAAACACTGCTTGGTGCATCCTTCATTTTGGTGGAAGAGATATTGTTGTCTAAATGGTTGATGAGCGTTACACACAAATAATCCGACAATTTGGCCAACTGATTACATCTTTTCTGCTCGAGCAAGCAGTGAAGGAGTACAGGAAACTTTGTACAAACCTGTACTTTTTCTCCTCAAAAGCTTTCCACACCAAGGCCCAAAATCAAAGCCTGGTACTTGGATTAACATCACACCAGCAGTCCACAAACTTCTAGGACACTCATGGGACTTGATTGAGATGCATGGGGGCTTCGGATTGAAAGATTGGGATGAATCAGATTTGAAACTTGTGAGAAAAAACTCGCAATCTTCTAATCTTGATGACATGATCAATAGATTGATTGGTTGGGATCCAATCCAATGATTAACACTGTCCTCTTGAAAGCCCAACCATACTGTAAGCATTGTACTGAATAATGTTATTCAACCAGGTATTGCAGAATGAGGAGCCCAATGTTTGGTCCACTAAATGATGATGATGCATTATTTGAAAGTTTAGTTGTTTCAACTTGAAGATACTTTGAATGAACTTTAAAAATAATAATTCTTTATTTCTGTCTCAATTATTCTATCAAACATGATGAGTCATGACAAGTCTGGAAATATTTGTCTGCCCAAATATGAAAATTCAGTGCCAAACCCCAAATTTTCATTGTTTTTGAAAATTTATTACTTTGTTGTAAAGCACTCATAAAAATGCTTCTAATGAGCCCTCACTAATGTCTGTCTCTTTTCCCTAAATTAAATGGCACCCAATTGTGTTTTCACGCATTAATGCCTAAATATGGAAATCCAGTCCCACACCCCCAAAGTTTTGTCTTTTTTTTTTTTTTTTTTTTTTTTTTTGAATATTCTTATTTTTTTGTAAAGGTTATAATGCTTTTAACGAGCCCTCAATGATACCTATATCTTTTCCTGAAATTGAATGGCACCAAATATGTGTTTTCAGGACTTAATGTTCAAATATAGAAATTCGGTCCTAGACCCTCAAAATTTTTATCATTTTTGTAAATTTATTTTATTGTAAAGGCCTCATCAAAACACTTCTAACAAGCTCTCACTGGTGTTTATACCTTTCCATAAGTCAAATGGCATCAAATTATGTGTTTTTGCAACCTCACTGCCTAAATATGGGAATTCAGTTCTAGATCCCAAAATTTGTTTTTATGATAGAGGCCTCACGAAAATGCTTCTAATAAGCCCCAAATCACTGTCAGACTATAAGTTAAAGGCAAGTTATGCCCAAATTTTTAAAAAATGGCTCCCCAGCTCACTGCGCATAGTGGTATTCCTTGCTTTTTGAAATTTCATTTTATGCCATTTCACTTTTACCAAAGACTTACATTGGTATCTATTTTTACTAACAAAAATAATCTGGAGTGGTTTTTCACTTTTCTGAAGAGAACAAAACAAAAACAAGAAGTGTAATGCAAACAGAGTATTCAGCATTTGTTTTGCATCCAGCCATTATACAGGTGGACCTCACTTGCAGGTAAGTGAGAGTGATGCTGTTAATCTCCTTCCTTAAGAACTACACTCAGGCTGGCTTTGATGTAAGTTTTGAGCAGGATGTTTTGCATGCCTACAAAGAACCCTTTGATACAAAAATATGTGTGGCTTTAGCAATCAAGAATACTGCATTCAAACCTGCCTCATTTAAATAAAAAAAAAACCCAAAACCCTCAACCTTTGTCATTAAGGAAGACATGCATGTAAGCAGTGTATCTTTGCAAATATATATTAAGAGATGTCTCCATAGATGATGTTTACTATTGTCACAGGCTGTTCATGAAAGGAACCATATTTTGCTGATGATAAAATTCCTATTGGGTTGGTGCATAATTATCAGGCGTTTTTGTAGGTGGGATATTTGTTAATAAAAATTGCTGTTTTGTTTACTTTTTTAATAAAAATATAAAAATCGACCAAGCAAATGGGAAGCAGTTATTGATGTAGATGGTGACTACACTGCAGAATAATCATTTAAAAATTTTATTGTTGAATTGTTATGTTTCTTTTTTCATAATAAATATTGTTTAAAAAACACCTTTTAATTATGCACCAACTTGATTTAAAAATGTTTACCATTCTTTTCTTTTTTTTTCGTTCACGTTAATACAGAAAATAGAACGAAGAAGCTGGTGAACCCTAAGTTGTTTATGATCGCAATATAAAGACCTGATGATTAGGAGAGACTTACATTATGAAAATAGCTGTAGCTGACAGATGGCATATAAGTCAATATTCTTCTCAGTATCAACTGGGTTATGATGTTGTAAGATCCAAAACCTCTAATGATCTGCAGCTAAAAACATCACTGATGTGTGCCAAAGCATCAAATAGATGTATTTTCCAAACACAAACTTGTTAAAATATTACACACACATAATTTTGGCTTTTTGATTCTTAATCTAATCCAAATTTCCTTATACTGTACGCCAGTGAATTTAGCAATTTGAAATTAGGTTAAGGAAAACAATGTTTTAAATTTGTAGATCTGTTAAAGATGCTTGCCTTCTTCACATTATTTAAATCCATTTTTATTCACCTTTCCATCATGTCTCGCTGATAAATCCATTTGATTGTAGCTCTTATTAATCAATTTCAGGTAGATTCTGCAAATAATTCAGGTGAAATCAAATTGGTTTTGGTTGTTCGTAATGATCTAAAGATGAGCAAAGGCAAAGTGGCAGCCCAGGTATGTGTCAAGTGTTTTTTTTTTCTCCATCTTTCACAACTCATTTAATTGATTGTTTAACTATTTTTTTTAATCACCCCATGTAAGCCACTAAGATACAAGGGGTTACCGAGTGTGAAAGAATAAAAAAAGAGAGAAACATTATTAAAGAGTGAAAATAATAAAAGAGTAATCAAGAGGATAGTAGATAATAATTGACACTGCCTTTGAATTTTTGAAGATCCAAATTGGCCAGAAAGCATGGAGCCAGAAAAGAGTTCCACAAGCGAGAAGTGTGAGAAAAGAAACTTAACATAGAACTTTGATGGTAGCTTGCTGTCAATCTAGTACTATGCTTAAATTCATAAAGTTAAGGTACCATAGTGAAGAGCTCATCAGAACAATTACCATGAAAGTATTTATAGAAAAGGCACAGGGAAGCTATATTACAGCAATGGGAAAGTGACTGAACACAAGATGCCAGGTCAGGACCTATAATATAATTTGTATTATTTTATTGTATTGATGCGGCATTCACCCTGGGCGGATTGAGCCGGCTTCTTCCTGTTATGAGAAGAAGATTCTTGGGATAAATTACAGAAGTAGGGTACCCAGGGCTACTCGGATAACGTTCTTGCTTGCCGCGGGGTTCCCACAGACGCAGAGACAGGAACAACCAGAAGCCGCCCAGTTACCGGCGCAGACGCTCCTGGATTTTCACCAGAGCCCTTGTTAGCCAGCGTGAGTGTCAGACCTGTCCGCCTTGGTGGCCCTACCAGGAACGAAGTTCCGGACAGCATAGCTCTGACACTACCGTTTACACCCCCCCCCCCACCGACTGTGAGGTAAGGGTTGGACTTTGGTACATAGTCAATTTTTGTGTCAGAAGTTGTCTATTATCTGACCCTCATGAATTTAAGTTAGTTTTTTATTTTAGAAATATGAGGCATGGCAAATTTTAAAACAGCAAATTTAGTATGAAAATTTAAGGAAAATTAAAATCCAGGATTTAGCAAAAAAAATTGCGGCGGGCTAAATTTTTTATTTATTTGCATTTTTTTTTAAGCCAGAATTTTTGATTTAGTTACAAAATGTTAGGCAGGTTAAAGTTTTAAAACATCAAAATTTATATTTAGCTTAAATTATCGGCATTTTGAGTATTTTAACCTTCAAAATTCGTTTATATTCATCAGTTTTTCTAACATTTATTGAGGCAAAAGAAGAAGTCATAATGAAAACTTATAGGCTGATAGACTGGATTTTATTGATGTGATTTACATTATAAATTGCAGATGCTATATAGGTACTTCTTAATCTTATGTTTTCTTTATCTTGTTTTATACCTTAAATAATTTATGAAAAAACACAGACATATCAATAAACAATTTAAAAATATATTGCAATAATTTAAATATCTTTTTTTAAGTTTTAATTCCCAGAAATGAAGTTAGTTACAAAAAACTAAAAATGAGTTTTATATACTTGGGATAGGTTTTAGAGTGGTTAGTATGTGTTTCTGTCATAATTGCCAAGATTATATCCAACAAGTAAATTTAAAATTTGTCATTTAAAAATAAAAAATAAAAAAAATAAAAAAACGATAAAATAGATGACATTTGAATATGAAATGATCAAGATTAATTTAATGAATACTTTACTGGATTTCGAAATTTTACAGCAGGCGCCAATTTATCTGTTAAAGAATCACTGATATTTTAATTATAATTAAACTATATCATTAATAGCAAGATTAGAATTGTCTACTATGACTTTTATTGAAATGTTCCAATTTCTGTACTAATTTATTATTTTTGAGTACTAATACTACTATTTTTCTAGTAGGACTGGATATTAAAATTCAAGATTTATTGGTATAGGAGGAAAAATAATTGCTTACTAGACTCTATTGTGATACTGTATTGTTTGATTTTTTGTTCTCTTTTTTTTTTTCTTAGTGTTCACATGCTGCAGTGGCTGCTTGTGAAAAGTTAATGAATAAAAATCCCAAACTGCTGCAAGCCTGGAAATACTGTGGACAGCCAAAGGTTGTTGTCAAAACTGAAACTGAGGAATCAATGTAAGTAAATGCAATAGAATTAGATTGGAATAGGATTGATAGATTAGTTGGGTGATAAAAACATTTAATTTTATTTTTGGCTTTAACAATGATCCTAGATCCAGAATGCATCAATTGACTATGTTTATTAAATTGTTGAGTAAATGTCAGTTTTTTTTATTCCTTTTTATTTCCAATTTTAAAAGACTTGTTTTAGCTTTGAAAAATTCCATGAAAGATTTTTAAAAAATGTCAATATGAGCAGGGCTGGTACAAGGGTCTTGTGGGTCTCCCCTGAATCTATGATATGCCTCCCACATCCATTCTACTACATCTCAATTTTCATAAGGTAGTATTCATATAAATTACAAATTTTCTGGTAACCTAATTATGTACAGTAATGGATCATATGCAATATAGGTGAACAATTCAAGTAGAAAAATTGTAAATAAATACAATGTATCTAAATACAAATTAGAGAGATGTCATAATAGATCATTCCATCTTAAATAAATCAATGTTTTGCAGAAACTTTTAACATCAACTTGAGATTTTCCTTTTAAAAAAGTTGAATAATTTTACATATTCAGCATTATGGATAAAAAATAGTGAATTTTATAGTATTTTTATATAGTGTTCTTATGCAGTGAATTTTATATAGTATTTTTCAAGGCTTAGGATGAGCAAAACAAATTCACAGATTTGAGCAAAAAAATGAACCCAGAATGATATAAAAATTTGCATAAAATTATTCATCCTTAAATAGTCAGTTGTGATAATCTAAAGTATTAAAACAATTTAAAAGTTTTAAAATCTGAAATTTGCATTGTACGAATACTTTTTTCACCCATTAAAATTGATAAATGGAATTTATTTCTATTAAATCAAAGTTGTTTCTGTTTTCTATGCATATTTAATTATGCATCTGTGTACAGTGAATTATATGAAAAGTATGCTTATTCATTAGTTGAAAATACAAATTAAAAATTTGTACATGTACGAATATTTGTTTCCACCACAGTATATATATATATATATATATATATATATATATATATAATAAAAAAGTAAAAGCTAACACTTAATGATATTAACTACGGACACGGTTACAATGTACTGTGTTCAGAAAATAAAACGGCCCTATAACTCTAAAAACATAGACACACGCCATACACCCAATTAAAAAGCGAAAATAAAATAATCCTTGATAAAAAAAAAGTATAGCCAAAAACACTTAGAATTTATAGAACATTTGGACAGTTTCTACATGCTCTGTCCAAAAAAAAAACACTTGTTCGAACACAAGAAAAATTAAATAAAAATCTTAATCATAGTTCCTTGTCTGTCGTCTTCAATGAAATGTGTGTATGTATGTGTATATATATATATATATATAATTATTTATTTAAAAATATGATTCCAAATCGCTACATAAGAGGTCTCATGTTTCAAAACAAGAGCCAAAAACTTCAATATAATCCTTTAAATTAAATTGAGTTGAAAGTAAAATGGGCTCCGTTCCATCTTCAAGCGAAATTTTTGTTGGAATAACGTATATCTGAAATTTACTTGTTTTAAAATTGAAATCAAAATCTCCATGGTAACAGCTAGGGTTAATTGTCTAAATTGGGTAGGCGGGTGTAGGGTGTTTATAATAAGTAGTCGGGGAAAGGTGGGGGTGTCAAAAATGAAACGGAAGATGTATTGGTCATCGTCTAGTTTGCTTGTCTATGGAGATTTATTTATTTATTTTATTTTATTTTATTATGAAAGGGAATTGTGCATATAAAAAAAAGAAAAACTTTCGTAACGTTTGTTTTTTTGACGACTTCATAAAGGGTTATCTTATATGTAAGGTATTTTAACTACTAATTTAGGCTATGGATTATGAAGTGTGTTATGTTGTATGCATGTTTGTAGTTAATTATTCCTACTATGAATCTGATGATTGGGCTATTTGTTAAACAAGTTATATAAATTTTTTTTATGTAATAATTCAAACCAAAAATCTGATGATGCCTACAAAAAACCGTTAATTCGTGTCTATTATTTAATAGATTATTATTATTTAGAAGTTTAGTAATGTGCAATTTTTCATGGAGGCACAAAGGGCATGGGTCATCCCAAGCTTTACATATTCTAGCCTTGAAAATTATTGGGGATTTTGATTTCAATTTTAAAACAAGTAAATTTCAGATATACGTTATTCCAACAAAAATTTCGCTTGAAGATGGAACGGAGCCCATTTTACTTTCAACTCAATTTAATTTAAAGGATTATATTGAAGTTTTCGGCTCTTGTTTTGAAACATGAGACCTCTTATGTAGCGATTTGGAATCATATTTTTAAATAAATAATTATATTTATGCTCTACTTTTGTATCGAGCACTATTTTTTAAAAATAATAACTAAAATACTAAGGGACTTTGGATTATTTACCTAACCAGTTCCTTCCTATTTTCTATATATTTTCACACATATATATATATATATATATATATATATAGAGAGAGAGAGAGAGAGATAGATAGATATATAATTACTGCAATAGCCACTATAAATATTTTTTTATATTTTTAGTGAAATAGATATACTTTTTGATTTGCCCAGGAATAGTCATAGTTCTCATATTAGTTTCAAATTGTTTGAATTCTTAAAGTATTTTCATTATTTTTTTTACTTATTTTATTTACCCTTTATTGTTGCTTTTTAGCACTTTAAGATTATTACATTCTCTGATCATTAAAGCAAGCAGCAACATACTTGTGAGTGGAATTTATGATTAAGCTGAATTAGGCAATTTTTAACCTAAAATTTGTTTGAGTAAATTGAGATTCAATCTGTAAGATCTGGCATTGAAAAGAGAATGTCAGTGGTCTGGAATTAAAGTAACATAATTGACAGTTTATAAAACACACTCTTTTTCCAAAATAATGGCTTAAAAAATTCCTGTGTCTTATATAAAATTGAAGCTAATTTTATCTGCAATATTCACTACTGTAGTGTATAATTTTGCCTCAGATGGTCACCTCTACCTAACCCAACTCCATAATATTATTTCCTCAAACATCATCGTCGTAGTAGTAATATTAATAATAAAGTATTATAACACAATAGTGGTTACATTCATTGGTACTAACTGTTCTTTAAAAATGAAATAGTTGATGTAAGTCTCGTTAATATAGATGGAGTTATTCCCCTTTAAACGAACTCCGCTCGACATTCAGCAAAAGACTTCCAAAACGAATACAAGTTTCCAGCAGTCGGCATTTTACAAGTTACACTGCAAAAGTTTATGATATTGCAATTTTTTAGTACGAAGGAACTTTTATTTTTCTTTCTTATTGTCATGAGTTTTCTAAATTACTTATACTACTTTGTTTTTATTTCAGATTTCAAATGTCTCGTGAAGCTGCCAAACTTGGGTTGAATGCTAGCCTTATTTCAGATGCCGGTCGGACACAGATTGCTCCAGGATCAAAAACTGTACTTGGGGTTGGACCAGGTGAGTGGACCTGTTGGATTGGTTGCAAAGAGAAGAAGTTTATTTGGCAAGAATTAATGTTAATTTGGAATCAAACAATGAATAAGAGTAACTATAAAACAAACAAAAAAATGTAATACCCAGTATAATTGGTTCATGAAATTTTGATTACCTATCAGTATTTTGTTTTTTTTTAGTAGGTTCCTCAAGGAGTTACTCTTACCTATTTTGGAATGATATGATCAATAAAATTTATACGATTTTTTTATTTTTTTTATTTTACATTAGTCGATGTCATTAACACACTGCCAGAGGTCAATTACGAAATTTAGCTTCAAATGTCAACTTTATAACAGCCAACTTCCAGAATGAAAAATTTTTATGAGCTGATTTATAGCTTCAACTGAAGTCTTAACAATAAACTTGTTGGCTCGTACAGATGAAAATGTATCAGAAAATGTCAACACTAGTTAACTTGTAGTCGATGTCATAATAAAAACTGCCAATCATGAGTTATCTTGTGGTTGGCAGTCAATGTGTCAAAATGTGTGTTGTGGTGTAATGGATATTGGCTTGGAACAAGAAATCATGGAGCTGAGAGAATTCCAGTTGAATTCATTACATTGACTTACACACAAATACACTCTTGGAAAAGGCATGAATCCATCTCTTCTCTCTCCAGCTATGGTTTGAATAGCAGGACAGACTGGGTTCTATAGCCTTGGTTGGGAACAAGTTGACCACAGAAAGAAATGGCAACCTACTGTGGGAAAAATCTTCTCCTTGTCAGTCATGTATCAAAAGATATATGATTGCTTAAGTGTGTATTATGTGTGACATTTAATTGACTGAATTAATTGGCAGAACAGGGATTAAGGGAAAAAGCAAACAAACTTTGCTTAGAGATACAAAGGACAGGAAGATGCGGAGAGCCATAATTGCCCACATCTTGAAAGGACTTGGCACATAGAAGAAAAAAAGAGTTTTTTTTTTTTTTTTAAATCATTTCACCCCAAGCAAGGTAATAAAACCACTAAGATGCAATGGGTTACTGAGTGTGAAAGAATATGAGAAAAAGAAAAACATTATAAATGAGAGGGAACAATAAAAGAATAGAAATTAAGAAGACAGAAAATAACAATTAACATTTTGCATCTAAATTTTTGAAGATCAAAGTTCACTGGAAAGCAATAAGCTGGATAATGCTTCAGAATGAGAAATCAGAAAGCCGAGTTCAAATTCCAGCTGGGGTCGTTACATTCACTTACACCAAAAACCCTTGAAAAGGGTATGAATTCATCTCTTCTCCCTCCAGCTATGGGTTGAATATCAGGACAGACTGGCAGGATAGCCTTTGTTTGGCAACCAGTCTACTGCAGAAAGAATTTGCAACCTACTGGATAAAAATTTTCAAATGCTCTCTTCCAACTTGCCTTGAGCCAGCATGGAAGAGTAGGTTCATAAAATTAACATGAGAATAATATCTTGTGTTGATGCCCTGTCTGCAATAGTGTTGAGTAAATGTTTGCTTATTAGAAAAAGAATGGCCTTCTTCAGATGTATGTTGTGTAAGCTTCAGAGAATTTCAAACTGGACTTTTATTTAATCTATCCTGTGAGTATAAGATTTTCCAAGCCTTCTTTCCTCATTATTGGCAATCTTTTATACTGCGATATATATTTCGGTTTAGTTGGCCATGGTTTGATCGAGGCTTGTGATGTACTGTCTTTGGTCAAATCTAGCATAAAAAATACATATTGATATATAAATTAGAATGAATGATTACAATTTGTACATTTAGCATCTTTCTTTTCTTTTTTTTAAAGCTGTAAATTAAGAAAATATATACAACATATATTACTTTCCACAAAAGTTACAGTTTTTTTTCCTTGGATTAAAAGCCATTAGATTATTGGGTAATAATGAAGTTATTAAAAACAAAAAAAGAAAATGTTGAAAGTAGAAAGTATGTCATATTGGTCTTTATCAAATCAGGATTAAGTTACCCCAATTTGTAACCTGACTTGATTTTTTTTTTTTTTTTTTATCTTTCTGAGTTGCTGACAATTTTGCTATCCAATATTTATTTAATGATTGTTGTTTTGCTCTGACCAAACCAGTCCTTTCTTGTCTGTGAAAAAGAAATCATTTCATTTCACTTGATTGTCCATTAATGTGTATGTGTGTGTGTAAATTTTATTACATCATGTATTTCTCTCTATCTGTTGCCTGATATTCAGTTACCATTGTGATCACTTGAAATGATTTGAGGCAGTAATCTTAACCGTTGTCTAAGATTGCATCTATTTTGCTTAATCTATTTTTCAATATAACCCCCTGCTTTGTACTTAACCCATCACTTCACCATTGACTACATAGATCAAAACAAACCTTTGACAATCAATGTCATCATTTTTTTAGGCCCTGAAGCAAGAAAATCTACGCATTTAAGTGCAATGAGGAACTACTCTTCATTGCACTTAAAGGAGTAAGCTTGGAATTAATCTCTGCTGCTTCAAGCAACTGGACAATTTCTGGAACTATCTGCATGTAGTTGTGTAAGAACCCCCCCCCCACACCCACACACACACACACACATAAAAACTCAATCTTGTGTCACATCAATGTGTAGGGGAGTAGGTAAATATTCTCCTCCTCCTACTACTACTACAAATGAATTGACATTTCTTTTTCTTTCTTTTTTTCTTTTTTTTTCTTGCATCTCATTTTTATAAAAAATATTTTTCTATTTTCAGGTCCATCTGATTTGGTAGATCAAGTTACAGGGCATTTAAAATTGTTTTAAATATTCCTGTTATTCTTTACTGCTTCACTTTAGATGAAATTCCTTTTGTAAAATTAAAGAAAAATTCTGTAAATTGTGTTCATTGTTTTATTCTTTTCATTTCTTGTACAAATTTTAATGTTTAAAACTCTTATAAAAAATACAATAATCTCTTATTATAGACAGATGATGGATGGCATGAGAAGTGTGTATGAAACCGGATCATTGCTAACTGGGAATAACGTCAGTAGAAATTGATGACAGATGAAACAATTGAATATTTACTGCCTGATTATTTCTTGTCATCTATTATAAAATAAAACTCATAACTTAGTCTGAATTTCTGTGATGTGGAGTTTTCATTATTTACACTATTTACATTCAGACTATTGTGCTCATCTTTGTTGTCGTTATCAAAACATTTCAACCAATATACACCTGAAGAAGGCCAAAGGGGACAACAGCTGAAAGATTGATAACAACAATGAAGATGAAGACAATAGTCTGAATATAAAGCGTGTAAATAATACTCAGAACTAAGGTTCATAAACTTCTTCAGACTGATTACTTAATTCTTTTTGTTACTGCAATAATTCAATCAATCCATTCTACAGCATTATTCAGCCTTAAATTTATGGAAAATGGTTTGGTCGAATTAGTATGTTTTTCACTATTTTTCTCTCTCTTTCTCTTGTTGGTTACCATTTTCTAGTTTGCACTACTCAGAAAAAAGAAAAACTTTTTCCATCTGGATTATCCACCTGAAAACACAGAATGTATCAGCCAAAATGTCCTAACAACAAAAAGAATAAGTTCAAATGTGTAACTCATTTCCAGAATAAAAATTACCAAAATCCTGTGTGTATAAGAGGTGTAGAAGTGTTGATGCAGAGGTAAAGGCAGCCGGCAGGACATGGGCCGAGCTGAAAAGGATCACCTGGAACCACATCCATTGGAGAGGTGTTGTTGCAGCCCTATGTTCCCTAAGGAATCAAGAGACATAATAATATAATAATGTATGTATAAGATGCAAGTTTTTTCATCCCCAAAAAGTCTGCTGTGTCTTATACTTTAATTTAGAGCTCAATCTCATTTTTTTACCAAAACTCAAAACAAACAAAATTTGGTCAAATTGAATTTATTTGTTTACTGGAGAGATAATATGTATCTAATGGTGTATTGCAACGAAGGGAGATAAATCTTTCATAATATTTACGGTTCTGTATTTTTTCCGGATTTCATTGAGCCTTAGACAACTACATGAGTTTGGAAATAATTCAGAAGTAACAATATTTAATTTTTAATAAAAGAAAGGAAAAATGATGCATAATTTCAAAATAAAACCCTCAAAAGCAATTTTTTTGTTATTGAAAGGTAACTAATGACTTTCACAATAAACACTTAGCATCTTTTGGTAACAACAGTTATTATCACTTATTTGTAATACTTCCAGATCAGAAAAGTAAACAAAATTTCTATTTTATTTATTTTTTCTTTTCCTTTTTCACAAGTTTTAGTAACTAAAGTCCACTCAGCATAGTTGCAGTATAAACCACAGGTTGGATCTGGATTTTGAAGAAACAAATACTCCTGAGCTGGTGCCTTCAAACAGGGATTGACTAGCCACCCTAGCAGGGTGTGCTCAGAAAAGGAGACTAGCTGGTTATTATTTATATATATATATATATATATATATATATATACTCTGAAATTTTATTTACTATTTATTTTATATTTCTCCTATCATCTGGTTTACACTCCCCACAGTCTTTTGGACTGGAGTAGAGCTTTATTTCTTGTTTCCTGTTTAGGATTGGGTTTCAAGTTCCTTCTAAATTCTACTTCAACTCTATACTCATAACATCTCTGACTGAGCTCTGAAATTTTATGTACTATTTGTTTTTTTTATTTTTTCTCAGTAAGTTGAGATAGATTTACCTATCGTCCAGTTAACATGCCTCCCCATTCTTTTGGACAGATGTAGATGTTTATCCCTTGTTTCCTGTTTAGGATTGGGTTTCAAGTTCTATAGTTTTCTCATTTTCTTTCACTCCTAGTAGACCCTTATGTCTTAGTGGTACTATTACTTTGGGGTGAAGTGATTAATATATATTGATAATTGGGATATATAATGCTTCCGGTGAGGGATAATATGCATATTTTTATATATATATATATATATATATATATATAACCTGAGGAGTGGACCAAATGATTACAAAAAGGTTTGTCTATGAAACTCTCAAGTCAACGTGCTAAATATAACATCAATCAACTAAGTGACAAACTTTATATTTGTATTAATCCTATATATTTGTTTTATTCAATTCATAATTTTTAATAAAACTTTTTGCTGCCTAAATTTCCATATATGTACACACAATTATGTATAAAAATTTACAAAACGTGTGTAATGTTATATGAACCTAAGTTTTATTAAATTCAAATGGTAATTTAATAAAACTTCTTTGGTTACTGCCTAAATATATATACATATATATAGCTAAAAAAATTACTATAATAGAATTTTGAAGCCCTCTCAGAAGGATTTCGTACTGGGCCTCCAACTAATTTCCATTTAAGTAATATCCCCCACCCCAATACATATTGTCCATCTCTTTTTAGTGATAATTCTATTATAATTTATTAACCTTGATTTAGCTCTGTTGAGTGAGGTTTGAAACCAGTTAGTTAACCCATTTTTCAATTTTATGTTTTATCTATTATCATCATGTGTGGTAATAAAAATAAATTTTGTCTTTTCATGGCGGTCATAAAATTTTGTACCACAAATCATATCTTTATACATATCTTAATTTATTTGTTTAAGTGTTATTTTTTAAATGGTTACTCATATTTGAATAGATGCTCTGTTTTAATTTATTTATTAAACAGTATATTTATTTATTTACATCTACCGGCATGAATATTTTGAGGAATCTTGTTAGAAAAATATGCGTTCTCTGACAGGATTTGAACCTGTGCCTCCTAGGGGAAACCATCATTAGATCTGACATACCTTAGACCAACTTGGCCATGTAAGACCTCCTGATCAAACATAGACTGAATAGTGCTTTTGAAGGCATACTACCCAATTCTGAAAACATACATGCCTGCTCTGTTTTGTATCCTAAAGCAAACAAAGACAATTTTGAGGGAAATGGATTAAATCTGACAGATTTTTAATTTATTTGTTTAAGTGTTATTTTTTAAATGAATACTTGTATTTGAGTAGATGCTCTGTTTTTATTTATTTATTAAACAGTGTATTTATTTCTTTATATCTACCAGACTGAATATTTTGGATTTCGGAGAGAGAGAGAGAGAGAGATTGAGAGATATTACAGCTTATGTTCACCTAAACATTTTACTGATATTTCTACTTTCTAATAATACACTTTCAGCATTCCAGATTTGCTTTTGAAAATTTTCACCCTGTTCAAGTAATAAAAGATCCCCCAATTTGACCTAACTGATAAGGTTGTTACCTCCATATTATGCACTTCACCTGCAAACAATTTAGTGTGTTGGTTGGTTGCTAGCCACTATGAGTTCATTATATTTCCATGTTTTCGAGAGAGAACAGGATGTTTACTATATTTGACTAAACAGTCCACGTCTCATACTCCACTCCAGAAAAGCCAAAACAATACAGCAGGAAGTAAATATCCCAACCCCATCAACACACGCTTAATAAACTAAAACCAATGTACCTCACATTCCTTAATTGCAGACAAAAGCTCTTCAGTTCTTTTGTTAAATTTTTTTTTAATTATTTCATCCCAAGCAAGGCAATAGTTAATTTATAGATTTGAAGGATGGACTCAAATGAGAAAAACTGTCTAGCACAACTTTCCTTGATACCAATTTTCAGATAAATTGTATATCCCACCATAAAATAACATTTCTACTTTTAATTCAGTGTGTTCCGTGAGGACTTTCTGAGTATCATGAAATTGTTTGGACTATAGATCAGATAATACAGAATATTTACAAAGAAAAAAAAGTGAGGGACTTGGTTGTAGGTCAAGAGAAATACACTGCTGTCTTAGAGTCAACAATGATATTCAACATTTTGTATTATTAGAATAAATTCCTTTTTAATTGCCAGTGTGTATCATATCAAAAAAAATGACATTTATTTATGTCAAGCAAGAAGAGAAATAGGCAAGCATTTAAATGTTGATTAATATTCCTTTCCATTTGTTCATGGATAATCCATTTCTAAAGAAATGGATTATCCATGAACATCTGAATTTTCCTTCAATCTTGTAAATAATATACTTCTATAAGAATAACACACAAATAACATGCATAAATATATGCATAAATAAAGAACAAATAAATACAAAATAAATTGAAGCAAGAAAATTGGTCACTATAATATAAATTCCACTGAGAGCATTACCTCTCGACTGTTTGACCTTTGCATAAATTATCAATTACTTATACTATCACTGGCAGTTTTTTTTTTTTTAGTCTACACTAACAGTAAATTTTCCATCTCTTCAAGGCTTACAGCAATATCACATTGAAACACCTGTTCTTGTACAATCACCAAAGTTAAGCAACATCGAGTCTGGTCAGTACTTAGATGGGTGACTGTTTGGGAATATCAGGTGTTGTAAGCTTGGATGTGTGGGTGGCATAATGGATACTGGCTTGGAATTGTTAATCGAATCGTCTTTTCAATTCCAGTTAGGTTCCTTATATTCACTTACACGCAAATATCATTGGGAAAGGTATGAATCCACCTCTTCTCCCCCAGCTATGTGTTAATTATTAAGATTTGTATCGCTAAACCATTATTATCTCAAAAAATTCATACAATCTAAAAATATTTTCTGGCTTTAAATAACCTGCAAACGTTGATAAGCCATAGAAAATGAATCAATAAGTCAACCTAGTCTATACAGAGAACAGTTTGGGGGAAGCTGCCATGAAGTGAAGATTATTTCTTGAGTTGTAGATAAACACTGCTTCTTGATGTGCCAGACTTATGGGTAAAAATAGCTTTTGTAATATACTAATGTAATGTGACACTATTTAGCTATGGTAATTGGCTAACTAATTAACCATAGAAATTAAAACAGGAAATACTTAAGGCGAAAAAGAGCTATCCCAAAAGATAGACTGATCGATGTTAAAAAAAGATTTTATTTTATTTACGAAAAAGATACTTTTCACAAAAGACAGTAAACCCGTGGAAAAAGCCATATATGAGGTTTTCTCAGTTTGATTAATGTCTTGATGAGGGAGATTGGAAGAAAAGCAAATATTAAGATATCGGCCAGACCATGATGGTCATAAAAATTTTGGCTTGAAATGATCGCCGATACAGGCAGGGAGAATCAATGTTAATTATCTTTCTAAGATAGCGTTTATTTTTTTTTCTTGGCCACCAGAGAGGAAAAGCAATTATAAAATTTTGGTATTTGTCTCGACATAGGTGAAAGGATTGTTATTATTTATCTTATTGTTGCTTCAGACACTGAAACGTTGAATAGCCATATGGCGTTTGTAAAATTTTGGCATGAGACAGAAAATAGAGCAGAGAATTGAGATTTGGCGAGATAAAAGAATTTAATTTCTCGACAAACCAAGGATTCCATTATAAAGCTAACTTCACTAAGGGACCAGATGGCAAACTTTGACAGTGATTGATGGAGTCAGTAGAGAGTGCTGGCTAAGTGAATTCTGGGTGGCCAAAAGATATGATAGAAATTTAATTGACAAAATGGAATTCATAAAAATTTTGGCCAATGGGAAAAAGTAGAATTTTGTAAACAAAAATTCTAGATTATAATTTAAAGGAGGCCAGCTTAGCCACACCCACACAGTCAGGATACCATTGGTTGAGTGGTAGCAATGGTGATAGGTGGAGGTGAATGGATAAGAAAGACGGAGAAGTTATTAATGCCCACTGAAGGGATGGGTATGAGATGAAGGTGAGAAAGAGTCTAGGAGGATAGCTCTCCTCCGACCTTCCCTCATGGATGACGGAGACCCCCTGAAATGGAAAGTGATTAATTTTCCAAAAATGGGAAGTGATCAAATTTCCTGGCCTGACAACAAAGAGATTTCTTGTTAGAAATTGAGATTTACTGAGAACCTCAGGCTGCATCTGGCCCCACACTGGGTTATAAATGAATGTCCTCGGGTCATTCAGAGAGTTCTGAGTTGTAGTCGCAGTTGAGCTGGTTTTATAGTTAGAGTCAGAGTTTAACCAGAGTGTTGCCTTGCAGAAGCTGACTGAAAGATTCCATGACCTCCGACTTCGCCTATCCTACCAATAGCAAGTTATACTGACGAACGAAGCCAAGCCAACACCAAAGAACTAAATCAGTTGATTTAAGATATCAACTTGCTTGAAACATAGAAGTGTCACATTTCGTAGAAAACGGGCTGGGAGAAAAACACACACCTGTATATAATAGAAGGATAAAGTTAATTTGTTATTTCTTAACATACTTGAACCTCTTGGGTTTTTCTTTTATTTATTTCTTTTCTTTGAGCTTGTACGATACCACCTTCAGTCTGGACTCAGTCTACACTACGGCCCGACACCTGATTGATCTTGTCTACCTGGGATCAAAGTCACAAAATGGGTAGGTTAAACTTGAGATCGAAGCAGTTACTCCAGTAACCAGACGTTGCAAGTGAGCTGGGAATGATAGAGCTGGTATTGAACCAGTACAGTTGGTGAAGCTGTTAACATCAACGACCAGAATTCAACCCTCGATGAGCCAGTGTCCCATATTGGTATCCTGACCAGGAGATTTCGTCGAGAAGCGACAATGATCGATCAACCAGGACACAGGCTGGTGGCAGCGACAAAGAGTCAAACCCAAAATGTCGGTAGAAGAAACATTATAGCTTCTTGCCATGACTGGGAGTTGTCATACTAGCTTTCCTTCTAAAGGTTGAGGTGAAGGCCTATAACACATTTCTAACTTTGTTAGCCTGTTCTCTTTCTAGAAAATAAAAGAAATGTTCTTGCAGCTTCTACTTGACTTATTTTTATTATTATAAATGTTTGTGTAAATAGGTAGTGTAATGTATAATGTAATGTATATCCACTTATATACAAATACCCTTGGAAAAGATACAAATCCCCCCAGCTATGGGTTAATTAGTAGGACTTGTATTTATAAATCATTATTAACTCCCCAAAATTCTTTCAATGTAAAGATATTTTCTGACTTTAAATAATCTATGCCAGGTTCTGTAACCTTGGATGTGCAGGTGGTGTGATGGATAATGGCTCAAAATTGTTAATCAGAGAGTCAAGTTCCAGTTCCCATTGAGGTTTTTATATTCACTTATGTACAAACATTCTTGGGAAAGGCATGAAGTCACCTCTTCTCCCCCAGCTATGGGTTAATTATTAAGACTTGTATCATTAAAATCATTATTAATTCCTCATCAGAATTCTTACAATCTAAACATATTTTTTGTTTTTAAATAACCTGCAAAAGGTTGATAAGTCATAAAAACAAATCAATATTTTCACTTATGTACAAACACCCTTGAGAAATGCATGAACCCACCTCTTCTCCCCCCCCCCAGCTATTGGTTAATTAGTAAGATTTATATCACTAAAATCATTATTATCTCTTCCTCCTACCCTAATTCTTACAATCTAAAAGTAGTGACTGGCTTTAAATAACATGAAAAAGGTTGTTAAGTTATAAAAAACAAATCAGTCAATCAAATCCATCTCTTCAATAAAATATGTTTTTTAGTAAGTTCGGGTATTCTCTTAACTATTGAGAACACTTTTTAATTAATTTGTGCAGATTGTTGATTTTGCTGTGCACCAAAACTCATTTCACTTTCCTGTTCAAAAATTATTTTGACAAAGTTTAACAAACATTCCCAGAAAAAACAAAAACAGTGTGTCAAAAGGTTGGTTCTTGTCTTGACACTGCAATTGCTGCATATTCCTTCAGCAATATTTATTGTTTTAAAAAGTTATGTTTATTATTTTAATAAAATCGAAACATGAAATTGGATTTATGCCTTCTCTTTTTTCTCGAAAATTGACAGCAAAAGTATTAAACACTATTTTTGTAAATAAATAAATAGTGTTTAACATTTTTGTTGTCAGTTCTTGAGGGAAAAAAAAGTACGAACTCAAATGCTCAATGCATATTTTAGTGAATTAATGAAAGAAATGACCAAAAAATACATTTTTAAAAAATTTATAATTCCAGTTTCTTGTAGCTATGTGCTAATTTAAATTTTCTTGGTTTCTTGTTCCGACATTTTTATAAATTTATAAATGAAAAAATTATTTTTAAAGCTAATTCTTTGTAATATGGTAAGTAATAAATAATGCATTGTAGTTAGTTTTCATATTTTTATAAATCTGTAAATATAAAATTATAAAAAATAATGTTTAATTCTTCTAATGACTGTTATATGGAACAGGAAAAAAAAAACTGTATAAAAGAAAAGAACATAAATTCTCTCTATTTTCCTTTTAACCACAGGAGACAAGACTTGTCTTCTTTCCCTTCTGTGGAACTTCTTAGTTCCCAGTGAACCATGTGTCACATTGTACGCAACACAGTATACAAATACCTGACGCTGATAACACTATCAAACTAAAATGGAACTCTTTTACATATGTGTTATGGGACCTTACCCATAATAACATAATGGACTATTCCATACGTAATAAATACTGCACCTCAAGAGGAAGCAGGGAGTTCAGTCTGAAGTCTGTCAGGAGTCTGTCAGTCAGTCAGAGCGAGTCAGTCAGTCGAGTCAAGAGTCGAGGCAGAGGCAGTCCGAACAGAGTCGTGTTCAGACAATTACTACAAGACATTGGACTAGTGATACTGGTCGAGACTACATTGTTCTTCCTACTAAACCTGATTGTTCATACTAACACTTTCTACTTCTCTGTATATATTCCTGTTTGTAATATATCTGTGTTATTCCATATCCGTGTTCGAGTTCTTTATTGGTTCTACCTTGGACCATCACTGTGGTACAAGGACCTGGACCATAACAATATGTATACATACTAATAAGGAAATCTCTATATGTACACTTCCATTTACTTCAATTTAGATTCCTCTTGTTAAGTTACTAATAGCTGCCTCCTGTAGTATTAGAGTTGGGCTTAGTTTATTTGATTTGTAAAGAGAAAAAAGACATTAAAAAAATTAAGCTGTAACTTTATTGAATAACATTTATTGTTTTGTTTCCTATATTCAGCCATCTTTTAGATAAAGTCATAATTTCATCCCCACAGAATATTATATTTTTCCCAGCAAAGACCTTCCCAAGATGCCTTCTTCTGTGGCAGGGAATATTGTAATGTAAACATAAAATACAACAAATTGGTAAAAACTTCACTGCCAAGGTGTAATAATTTTTACCTGGCTACCAATGAAACATGCAGTCTTGTCTTCTGATGGAATATTAAACTCTTTCCCTTTACTAATTCTAAATACTCTTTGTTAATTGCTGTCTTTTGTTAGTGGAATTGAAAGTCGTGCTTGCTTGAATTAACCACTTCAAAGAAGAAAGAAACCTTGTAGTAAATGACTCCTTTCCAATTCCACCAGTTACATAGTATCATTTTCTCTCATGATTAATGATAGTTCATTTTATTT